AATATAGCAGTACTGTGTCGGCAGCTTTACATGCTTTTTTTTTGGACAGGCTTTTATTTACCATTCACCTTAATTAACTTATTTTGCCATACTTCTGAACTTTTTTTTTCTAATATATTTACAGTGTTACACTTTTGTCAAACATGTTGTTATGCCTAAAGCTTAACTCTAAGCAGATGTAAAAAAAATACACATGCAGCTGTGTATTAATTTAATGCATCCTGATTCTTGCAATCCACTGTGCAGGACTCAGACTGGGGGAGGGAGGTAGAAAAACCAGATGTGCTGCAGTGCAAGAAGCATGCTGATACGATGAGAGGAAAGAGCAGAATGACCGAGAAATTAGCAGAGGTGCACCGAAATAGAAATTTAAAAACCCGAAACGAAACTGAAATAAAAAAAATTGTCAGACCGAAAATGTTTTTATTTTCATTTTTTTATTTTTTTATATTTTTATTTTTTATAAACTTTTTATTTTTTTTATATTTTTCTTTTATAAATTTTTTATTAAATATTTTAATTTTTTACTTTTAAGGGCTTTGGGGAAATATTAGGGGTCTAAACAGAGTCCTTAATCTTTTTTTCTGTATCCCCAGTTATCATTGAACAGGAATCCTCTGAGTGTTCCTGTTCATTCATAACTTGAGAACACAGTGTGCTTACTATAACTACAACTATGAATGAACAGGAGGAGATGTGGATTACCATTAATTCATAATTGAGGATATAGTCAACATACCATATCCTCAATTATCTACAAACACTCAGTGATCGCTGAGTGTTTGCTCTCGCTCTCCTCTCTGACACGCTGTCACAGGGGGCTGAGCGAGCGGTGCAGGGAGGAGAGCTCAGCCTCCTGTGACAGCGCTGGCTGTCTCCACCCACACACCGCTGTGCCGGACTGTGATAGGCGGCTGAGCAGTGTGGGAGGAGGGACAGCGGCCGCTCACATCGCTCTCCTCCCGCAGCGCTCGGCCGGCTGTCACTTTCTCTACTGCTGTGTGTCTGAGCGGGGAGGAAAGAAACCCGGGATGCGCCGATGTATCGGCAGGAAAATGGCACTTTCGGCATTTAGCCAAAAGTGAAATTTTCGGCTGATATATCGTTGCATCCCTTTCGTGGAAAAAAAAATATAAGACACTGTCTTATTTTCGGGGAAACACGGTATATCTATATATCTCCAATCATCTTCCAGGACAGCAACCTGAGAAATGAATGGCTCATACATCTACAGGAAACACAATCGAAAAGAGGTTTAAAAACCCCTCCCACCCCTTTGTCCCTCAGTTTAGATTGTGTTTCTTACCAATTCAGGAGCATCGACACGTTTTTGTTTCTTTTTTTTTTTCCTTGCCTTGGTGGTCAAAGGGTTCCCCTGTTTTTGCTTGCTGGATTCACTGTTCCCCTAATTTTCCGACGGGCGCAGACACCTAAGGTGCCCCAGAGTATTCCCTACCTGCTGTCAACCTGCCAGAGGTTTGGGGGGAGAAGGTCCGGTTGCCTAGTGTCACTGGCAGGAAGGGAGACGACGCTGATTTGGAAAACCCTAACACCCATTCTGCAGCTCCACCTTCTGCCCCAGTCTCTAAGCATGTCAGACAGCGCCATGGCAGGTGTAGTATTAAGCTTCTTAGTTCCTATGCTAAGTTTCTTTGTGAGAAGTGTGTTCAAAAGTGTTTTAGCTAATGAATCTTCTAGTATGATTCAGGGTTTTATGTAGGGATGTCCCGATACCACTTTTTCAGGACCAAGTACTTCACCTCATGTACTTGCCGATACCAATTACCAATACTTTTTCTTAAAGGGGCAGGTGACATTTAAAAAAAACAAATACAGACTAATGAGTTTAGGCCAATTTCTTTATGATTATGAAGAACTTTAATTTAAGACTGTATTAAAACAATAAAACATTTGCATTTGCTTTCACACAGCCACAGCGAAACTACAAATCCGATCATGCATCTGCCTCTGGGATCATTTAACCTATTCATGTTAGCAGGGGAGAATTGTAACTCTATTACTGCAGTGTACTGGAAGTGTGTACCAGGTTAAATGATCCATAGTACATATACAGCACATACGTCCCGTACACTGCAGTAATAGAGTTACAATTCTCCCCTGCTAACATGAATAGGCTAAATGATCCATAGTACGACTTCATGTTATGTACTATGGATCATGATTTAACCTATTCATGTTAGCAGGGGAGAAATTGTAATTCTATTGCTGTAGTGGAGGTGTGTGCTGTATATATGTGCTACATATACAGTACACACTTCCAGTACATTGTTGCAATAGATTTACAGCCAGCCCTGTCCCAGCTTCCCTCACTCCGTTTCACTCCTATCCCTGTTGCCTCACGCTGTGCCTCTCGTAGTCGGCGCTTGACAGGAACGCTGCATCGCGTCTCGGTGTTCAGCTAGTGGGAGGCGCTCACAATTCTGCCGTGCTAACATGAATAGGTTAAATCATGATCCATAGTACAACTACATGTTATGTACTATTGAGTACTATGGATCTTTTAATCCATTCATATTATGAGATCCTAATAGGTTGGACTTGATGGACTAATGTCTTTATTCAACCTCAAATACTATGTAACTATGTAACTATGTAAATCTATTGCTGCAGTGTATTCTATATGTAGCACATATAGAGTACACACTGCAGACAATAGATTTACAATTATCCACTGCTAATAATAGATTCTTAATGCGGACCCCCCTTGCTCTCACTCACTGCTCGATGATGGCCGGTGCCTCACGATTTTCCTCGGTGGTGAGGTCGTAGTCGGCGCTGTGTGGGAGAGCAGCGGCAAGTCAGCGCTGGTCAGGTGGGAGGAGCTCCAGGTGGGGTCCTAATTAAGCCGGGCCAGCTAATTTAGAACCCCACTTGGAGCTCCTCCCACAGGACCAGCGCTGACTCGCCACTGCTCTCCCGAACAGCAGCCGGAAAGGTAAGGGAAACAAAAATAGCACAAGCTTCGGCGCTATGTATCGGGGCATTTTGACAAGTATCGGTCCCGATACCGATGGGAGGTAAAGGTATCGGGACATCCATAGTTTTATGGATTGCATGCGTTCTGAGATGTTAGCAACAGTTCAGTCTTTTTAAGAATGTCTTTTCAGAATTTTTGCCTGTGTCTTCTTCCTCTACGGTTTCTGCTTTGGCATTAAGTGGCTTTACTCTTACATTTTTATTCCAGTGACACCAGAATAAGAAATTAGAGCACAGAACAGTAGTCACCAGGACAGAAAGGTGCTGCTAGCGATAAAAATCTGACAGAACTTCTGAGCTTTCTACCAAAAACTAGGGATGAGCTCAAGTTCAGATCAAACCCAATCCAAACCTGAGCTCCTCTGAGCCCAAAAGTGCCATTGGGCTACCCGCCCAATCAGCTGCAGCCGGGCATTCTTCGTCCCCGCAGCTGCACATAACAAAAGGAGCCGGATGGTTGTGCCGACTTCATTGAACTTACATGGCCATATTAAGTCAATGTGGCCTTATAAAGTCAATGACATCACAGCATCCCACCCCTGTGCTTACGTGCAGCTGTGGGAGAGGAATTCCCTGGCCACCACTGATTGGGCAGCAGGAGAAGGGGCTTCCTTTTGCATTCAGAGGATGCTCAGGTTCAGAAACTCTTAAGTGGTTTTGTGGGAATATGCCAGGCTATATCATTTGCATATGAGGTCAAGAGTGTACCCCCTTTTTAATTGAAGCTTCATTTCATGGAAAGAGCTTTTGAGTAAGCTGAACATATAACACATCCAGCTGTCTAACTCTGTACACCTTTACTTGGCACTATGGCTCGAAAAACAATATTTGACCTTTGAGTTTTTGGGTTGGCTTCCCTTATCACAGAAAATTTCTATCTACAACTGCAAGGTTGCTTCCCTATGTTGCATTTCCTTTATGAACACAGTATAAAATATACACATTACTAACTCACTATTTTAAAGACACAGGGGCTTGCGTTTTTCGTTTCATTAACAAAATTATTTTTCTGGGGTAGTGACATTGATTCCTTGGATACATTTGATTTGCAGTTGAATTCTGTTGTCTCAGATTTGCAGTTCAATGTATATGAAAGTTCCTTCCTCCCAAGGTGTTCAACAAATACCCAGGAGCCAGTTTGTACAGGCTATTGAATAGTCGGCAATGAAAATATCTTTAAAGCACACATGTATCCAGTCTATGGACAAACCTCATGCACATACCATAATCAGTGTTTATGCACATACATGCAGTGTGTGTGTGTGTGTTTTTAAAGGGTCTTACTATTTTTTTCAATTTTTTATTGTTTACTGCTATTGTGGCAATTGACAACCACCCTGTAATACTAGTGACAGGTACTCTTTCTGGAGACATCTGTTAGATATTCCCTGCCACTTGTACAACCAGAGAGCTTCATCTTGTTTACTTGACATCTGTGCAGAGAGTTTTGACAGCTTTGAACCTGGTAGTACTTTCAGGTTCATTGTCAGCAGGAGAAGGTCAGAGACGTTCCTGATGTCCTCCACCTTCTGCCATCCTGTATGCCTTTACAGCGTTCCTGGAATAGGGGAGATGTAAAGTAAGCCCTGGAATCTGGTGAGGAGGGATAACAATCCTGGACCACAAGCACGTCTGGATCACTTATACAATCAAATAGACATGAAAGAAAATCGCAAAAGTGGCTGTGGGTTCATTTTCATCATTTCGCTGCACCCCTATAACAAGGCTACAGCAATGGCAGTGCAAGGGATAATCATGTCCTTATTTTGATCAGTATATTTTAATCAATATTCCAGCATCCCCCCGTCCCCTCCGTAGTCTGCAGCTCAGATTAATCTCCAGAGGGTGCTGCAAACGACTTTTTTTCTAGTCTGATTTTTAAAGAAATAAAATGTGCAAAACTATTATACATTTGCTTTAACAAGGAATGTACTTTTATGTATAAGAAGAAAACTGCCAAAATAAAATTTTTACTAAAAAAAATCAAAAAATCTTTTATGCAGGATGAAAGTGTGGTAAAGTTAACTCAAGAACTAGCTATGAAACTTGGACTGAAAATTAGAAAAGCATATGTCAGGGCTCAGGTAAGCAGTATTCCAACCCTTAGAATTCTTCGATCGTTGGGGTTCATCATTCTATAAAATATTTGTTTTGTATTTCAGCCTGGTTCACAAGGTACTCACATGGATACAACAGAGAAGGTTAGTATTTTTTGTCAGTGTTCATGTTTATTATATTTAATTTTTGAGAAAAGCTAAGGAACCTTAAACATTTAAACAAACCTTTTTTCTCCTTTTTAAAGGAGAACTATGGGGTTAGGGCTTTTCCCCATAGTTCTCCTTAGGGTAACGGGAGGACACAAACAAGCGTCCTCCAGTCACCCTAAGCTCAGTATACTGCGACGCCGCAGCTGAAGCGGATCCCGACAATTATGTCTGGATCCACCCAGCTGCGTGAGCGACAGCTGGCTTTGCCTATCTAGAGGCAGAGCCAGCTGTACCCGCCCCTTCCCCCGTCCGTTCTGCCAGTCAGCGCTGAAGGATCGGGGAGGAGGGAATCCAGTCCCTCCCCTGTCACGGCAGAGAGCCATGACAGGATCGAGAACTGAGCGAACGCCAGTATGTGTTCGCTCACTTCCCGATCTACTGAGCCGACCTGTGACAACGCATTGTCACAGGTCGGCTAGAATTATGAGGTGAGTGAAAAGCACTCACGTCATAGTTCTCCTTTTAAACCCCTTTTCCTGGCAAAATGTAACCCTCTTCCCACCCTCCTCAAACCTATTTAGCTCTTCTTTTTTTCTTTGATAGATTGTGTAGCATTTTATACTCCACCAACTGTGTCCTCTGTGGTGTGGTTTTCTGCCCCTCTTGCTGATGTCATCACTCCAGTCTACCCTTGGTATTCTGAGAGAACCCCACAGCTGGACAGCCAATTGAAAATGCCCATGTCATACAGGCAGTGATGAGCCAACCCAAAGAATGACCCTTTTCCTGTGCAGAGAAGAATAATGGATTTAGGTGAATAAAAGACGCATTTGAGTAGATATTGCTGGCACAAAAAAACAAGTTAAAGAGGAGTGATGGTAGACAGCCCGGACAATAGCTTTAAGTGAACTTTTCAACATCCAAAAACCACTTAGCTCACTTCAGGGAGTTTTTTTTTTTTTCAGTTTAGTTTTTTAGGAACATGCAAACAGCAGTAGCAGGTCCCACATTTTTATCCTGATAAAATTAGGTGTTTTTCTCACTTGGATGTTGGATTCTGGTTGCCTTTGCCCTTGTGTCTTCTTCAATTGCTTTTTGCTAAACGTTCCTTGGGGATAAAAAAAACAAAATAAAAGGATAAATGTGATATGGTAGCTTAGGCCTTGTTCACACCAAGCGCGGAGCAGGTGCGGAGCAGAGCAGTTGCAGACTGGATCATACTGTGTCCAATGTATTCCAATTGTATTTTTTGCTCCAGTTCACATCGCAGCGTGCAGTTCCAGAGCAGGTGACAAAACTGCAGCAAGCCCTATTTTACCTGCTCTGGAGCGCATGCAAACGCATCAAAAAACGCATGCAAATGCCTGGAACGCACTGAAAGCCCATGTTAAACAAAAAATATATTTTATTTTTTTTAAACCAAAAACGGCCCGAACGCATCAAAAACGCGGCACAACCCACTGATCTGCTCTTCATTTGGTGTTGAACAAGGCCTAAGTATACTATACTGTTCACCTGGAGTGCTGGATAGCAGGCGAAGCGTAACCTCGCATAGAAAGTGAATATTTCCTTCTCCACCTGCCAAAAAGATGAGTATAAAGCTTCTTTTCATGCAGGGTATTTTCACTTTGAGCTTGTCTAAGAAGCAACATGGCCACTTTAAGGGCACAGATTTAATGAATACATTTACTTTTACTGCCCCATACGAACTACTAAGTCCCAATGGGCCAAAGAGTGACTGCTTCCATCAGACCTATCTTCATAAAGTGTTTTCTTTCTTGCTTTTTCAGACCTTCATTTATAATTTTCTATTTAATTACAGGCGACAGATTGTGTTGCAGATGAACTAGAACCTGGTATGTATGGTATTCCTTTTCCCTTTGGGAGTATATTTCCAGTGATAATTATTGCCTCAACTGGTTTAGTCCAGCTGTACAGGGGGCATGCTGGGCCTAATTCCGCTATTTTTTTTTTTTACTAAGGTATTAATTTTACCTTGTGTTTAGAACTGGGCGTTATCTGAATTTATATGCAGTAGCTTGGCATCATAGGCTGATATATGTGGCCTACTTGAGACACAGAGGTAAAATAATTTCCTTTACTACACAAACACTTTGTTTCCAAACAGAAAACAAATTGCAGTGAAATGCACCAAAATGATCACATCAGTGGTATGTGTTGAATTGTTGTGTTTTTAAGATGTCCATTTTGCTCTATTTCAGATTTGCCTGAAGTTGATGACTGTGAATCCCCTCTTCCATCCTTCTCCTCTCTCAATATTAATAGTGAACTATTAAGAGAACCATCTCCCATTCCAGTGTCGTCGGTCTCCCCAAGCATGCTCCCTGTAGCTGTACCTGAAGTGGGACTTTTTCCCTCAGCCCTTGCTAGCTGTGAGACATCATCTCTGTTTCCAGTGTCAAATTTACCTGATGAAATAATTGGAGATGAACTGGATCGCATCCTTGATTCCGTGCCAAAATCTAGCAGTCTATTGGTGAGGTTAATTAAATATTGGTAATACAAGGAATGTTTGTAATCAACATTTATAACTGTGATCTTTTATTAAAATATCCATACAGCAAGAATACATTTTTTTAAATTTGAGGTTCCTCACATGCATTCATTCTGTATAGGATATTCATTTGCTTAATAGAAGCTTTATGAAAGCGAAGCCAGTTTCATAGGCATCTGCATACAAATTGGTTGTAAACTGTCTTGTTATTTAATGTCATGTTTTTCAAGCACTCCTGTTGAATCATTAACACATTTTCTAAAATATAGGTATAATACCTTGAAATCTTGGGGAATGTGTGCAATTCACTTGTTTTCAGCAATGTATTTTGGGATGATTATGAAACCCCCTATTCTGCCTTACCAAAAGGCTTAAAGATCTGTTGCACTGGAAATATTTTTGTACAATTTACTACAGTTTTATGTGGGACGTTTGTTTCAAAGAGCATACATTTCCTTTGAGAACAAAAGCAAGGTTAGTTAGGTGCTATGACAGTGAGAAACGTAATTATGTGTAATATGCCCTCTTCCTTCCCAGGTTGGCAGGTGTGTTTCTTCTTTTCAGTTCTCCAACCTGGTCTTTTCTGGATCAGCAGCAACATAGCCAGTAAACCTGGCTCCTAAGAGAGATTTTATCATCATGCTATGGTATCTAGTTATGGCATTGTGCAGAGTAGCTAAATATATACAATCTTCACCTTTTAACAGAAATGTGTATAAACCTTCTGCGCTAATGGATCTTGATAAATTAATAGCTGTCCACATTAATATGCATACCTTACCAACAGTACAAAATAAATGTATAGAACGTTTAGAAATTGCTCAAAACATATCAAACCTATAACAAACAGATATAAGGGTGCTAGGGTTCATTCACAGCCCCGTATGCTGTCCAAACCATTCTATTTCTGTGGTAAGTATGAACAGGTGTTTCCAATTAGTTGTGGCTGCACAGCCTGTCCAAGTCAATGACAGGCTAAAGGTGCCCATACATCTTACGACCATCGCAAGACTTTTGTCTTGCGATGGTCGTATGCTTAATGAAAGCTCGTACAATCTGCCCACCTTGGACGGGCAGATCGTACTTGTGATCATCGAAAGCCCGCCCCGCTGAGGGGCGGGCTTCCGTTGACCGCAATGCAGAACGGGCAGTGTGCGCACACCGGCCCGTTCCGCAGCTATCGGACGAGCAGGCTAGAAACCCGCCGACAATCGTACCTTTCTCGGCGGGTTTTCGAGCATGTTGGTTCGACAAAAGACGTGCGACCGTACAGTAGAAACGGTCGTCTTCGTTCACACTGCTCGATTCTCGTACGATCGCGGGATTTCGCCCGATTCTCGTACGAGAATCGATCAGTGTATGGGCACCTTTAAGCTGGCCATACACCTAAAGATTTTCTATAGATTTTTGTTCTATCAGCCTATGGTCAGATGGAAAAAGTACAAACTGTGTGTGCATGGAGGAATCTCCCATTGGGCCAAGTTTCAGTATCTTGCTAGTTGGCCCTGCTGGCTCTCAAAATTATTAATTGACCAAGGGAGGAGGTGTAGATGGAGAAGAGGAGGGGCCCAAGGAGCCTTGAGGGACCCCTACAGGAAGAGGAGGGGAGGAGTTAGAATTGTAAGTGACACTAAAGGAGCGCATAGATAAGTAGGAGGAGAACCATGGGAGAGCAGAGTCTTGTAGGCCAAGTGAGTGGAGTTTTTTGAGGAGCAGCGGGGGGTCAACAGTGTCAAAAGCAGCAGAGAGGGCAAGAGTAAGGAGTAGTGGCCGTTGTTTTTAGCGGTTATTAGGTCATTGGTGAGTTTTAGGAGGGCGGTTTCAGTGGAGTGTTTGGGGGCGAAAGCCGGACTGAAAGGGGTACAAAAGGTTATTAGCGAGGTGGCAACTCAGGCGGTTGTAGATAAGGCTTTGTAAGTAGTTTTTGTCCTGTAGCTACTAAATTAAATACAGCGGGAGGAATTTATCAAAGCGGGAGCAAACAAAATCTACAGCAGTTGCCCATACTAATCAATCGGCTTCTCTCTTCAGTTTGTTCAGTTAAGTTATGAAAATGAAAGAGAGAAGCTGATTGGTTGCCATGGGCAACTGGTCCAGATTTTCTCTGTCCAAAACAGCGGTTTTGATGTAGAGCGGCATTATGAGAAACTTGTAGGTAATTAATATTGTATGCTTTTCAATTTTCTTGTTCACATGATGTCTTAAGAAGAAGATCTTCAAGGATCCAATTATTAGTTAATAATATAACATTTTACATGCTGAGCATTTTTTTAAATGATCTTGTTTGAGCTTACATTCTAGAAGAGGAAAGACAAGTGAAACACAAACTGTGAGTAGGTGATGGTTCATTGCTAGATTGATTATGGTGATTCTGTTAGCATATTGATTTTAGTTTGATTGAAGTTTAATTTGTGATTTAGTCAGTGTAAGATGTCATAGATGTAGTGTGTTTTACACAAATATGATAGATTTAGGATTCAGAAGTGACATTTAGGATTCAGTACCTTGGCACATGCCCCTTCCTTTGTTGTCCTAAGCATTTTCTTTCTCTTTCAGGCTAGCAGTGCTTTACCTGTATCTGGCAGAATCAATGCTTTTGCTAGTATGGACCCTCTATCTCCTTTTTCTGGTTATCCAATACAGAATCCGTATGCTCACCTTATGATGCCATCATTGAATAGCTTTTCTCATCACCTCTCTCTATCAGGTAACTGAATTTTCTGATGGCTACTGGTATTGAGTTAGCAGACTGGACAAATATGTTAAGTACGCCGTGTTACTAAAACACAGTTAAAATGAAAGAAAAATGTTTCAGCTGTCTTGCTTTTGGGTCCTATAAATGGGGAATTACCAATAGTGGATGTGATCTGCCTAAATACTGTCAAATTAAGCACATTTGGATTTAAAAAAAATCTAATTTGTTTCCATTTTTTATGAACGTATGAGAATCTATTATTACATTGCTTCGCATTTTGTTGAGCTAGAGACAGTAAGCTGAACGAGTCAAATATGTCAAACCTTTAATGCCTTACTCCATCCAGAATTTTTGTTTTCAATAGAATGGTAGGTTTAAAATTTTGTCAGGCTTTTATTTCTGTCTGTGATCTTATTGGGGAGCATTTCCCTTATGTCCTGTCCGTGTAACATCAGGACAAGAAATGGGAAAGCATCAGGACAGAAATGCACAGAGAGCAATAAAGTGTCCCTGTTGAAGAGATTTCCCATCACTTCTCTCCTTACAGAGACAAAAAACACAAACAGCCCTGAAAAGATTTAGGCTGAAATTGAGCTTTGAAATTGGGCCTACCTAGGAGTAGACAAGATAGTGTTCTTGTTTTTAACTTTTGTTAGCAAAAGAAAAACCTCTGCACTGCCCCCATTGATTCTGGTTCCTTACTCAGGTATTGACTTCAGGCACGAAACCCCAGGCACCTTCCATCCCTGCTTTTTAATAAGTGGCTTAGCGTTGCAGAAGAGTACTCTTATTGGACAGGAGAATAGTGGGTGAGTAGGTAGGAATTAGCCATTAAGTCTGGCAAGTCAAGCTCTTAAGCTGGCCATTAACCGTTAGAATTTTGGCTGACATTCTAACCGTGAGCGACTCTGCCAGCACCACCCGGTGTAGCAACCTTCCATTGAAAAATCGAAGGAGCCAGGTGATAAATTGCCAGCTTTAGAAACAAATTAAAACACACACACAAGGGGTTGCTTAGTTAAGGTCACTACTCTTAGACAGCATTTCATTGATGTGAATGTGCAATTATGTAAAGCACTGCATAAATTGTTGGTGCTATATACATACCTGCAATAAATAAATACATTCCCACTGTTAAAATGGCTAACAGGTTTGTTTTAAAGCTGCAGGTGAAGACTGAAGGCAGGAATATTTTTAATCGGTTATATAGTGACATCCTCTTTTGTTTGACCTAGTTCCTTTATACCAAACACTTGCTTCTGGTTGTAGCATTATAATTGTGTACCATAACTTTGACATACTCTTGTTTGTCTTCATATGTATCTGCATTAGATCACATGAGTGAGACACCTAAAGCAAATCTTGTAGATGTGACTCCATTCCAAGTGAGTATCATTACCTGTCTTTCCTTTGTTTATTTTGTTGAGTGCTAGGTGAAGCTGCTCTCAAATCTGGCAGCTCATTTTGCTATAAAATTTTATCATTTGATAAAAGTATAAAATATAAATCAAGTTAAAGGAATTTAAAAATAAAAAGTCGGGAAATGCATTGCCAAAAAGTCAAATTTGGGAAAATTCTAATGCCACCCTAAACAAAATTAATTCTTTTGGCCTCTTAAAATGGATTTTGCCGTGTCACAGATGGTGACAGATCAATCTCTACATACTAGGGATGTCCCGATGCCACTTTTTCAGGCCCAAGTACATCCCCTCATGTACTTGCCGATACCAATTACCGATACTTTTTCTTAAAGGGATAGGTGACTTTAAATGATCCATAGTACAACTACATGTTATGTACTATGGATCATGATTTAACCTATTTGTGTTAGCAGGGGAGAATTGTAAGTCTATTGCTGGAGTGTAGTAGAGGTGTGTGCTGTATATATGTACTACATATACATTACACACGTCCAGTACACTATAGCAATAAATTTACAGCCAGACCCTTCCCAGCTTCCCTCACTCGCAGTTTCACTCCGATCCCTGTTGCGTCACGCGGTGCCTCTTGTAGTTGGCGCTGAGCAGGATCGCTGCATCACGTCTCGGTGCTCAGCTTGTGGGAGGCGCTCGCAATTCTGCCCTGCTAACATGAATGGGTTAAATCATGATCCATAATACATATACAGCACATCCAGTACACTGCAGTAATAGAGTTACAATTGTCCCCTGCTAACATGAATAGGTTAAATCATGATCCATAGTACATAACATGTAGTTGTACTATGGATCATTTAACCCATTCATGTTAGCTGGGTATCATTGTAAATCTATTACTGCAATGTACGGGACATTTGTGCTGTATATGTACAGTACATATAGAATGCACTGCAGCAATATATATACAATTCTGCACTGCTAACATGAATGGGTTAAATGATCCGTAGTACAGGGCTACATATCATGTACTATGGATCATTTAACCCATTCATATTATATTCTCGCTAGTCTGGTTCCCGCCAGACTAGCGGGAATATACCTAGAGGTTTCGCCTCACTGTTTTAGGGGATGTGCTCACTTGGGCACGATATATCACATATGGTGGTAATGCCCCAAATTGAGATCTTTTTGGAACCGGCTTTATGCTCTAATATTTGGGGTTACTGGGGTGAGAGTCCCACGAGATCCCCAATATGTGTTGCTGAATTGCCCGATTCCAGGACTGTCTAAAGCTTTGGATAAATGAATTACTTTCTTTTTGTTGGCAGCCAAAATAACCATAGCTAGGGCTTGGAAAACACCAACAATTCCATTCCACTCGGTTAAACAAAAAATGTCGTGGATTATGGTCCATGAGAAACTTCACAGCATCCTCCAAGATACTAAAAAAAGCTTTGAATTGACCTGGACCCCCTGGTTGTTATATACAGGGGTGCTGGAAACCGGGTAATTTTCATTGAACAATTTTTCCTGGAATTTTTCTCTGGGGACTATGTTTAATGTTTAAGTAGATGTTGGGCTATTTGGTCGGGGATGGAGCTACTCTTTTCGGACTCTTAAGCTGTTCTGAGTCCTTTAGCATCTATTTCCTTTTCCTTTTATTGTCTGTCTTTTTTTTTTCATTATGCTCGCACACGTGAGCTGTTTAGTGCATTGATGTTGGACAGAAAGTCTTATATTTATATAGATATGGAGGAGATCATAACAAATGTTTGCTGCAGACATAGGCGGATCCCTATGCCAGATATTCCTGTCAGACTGTTTTAAGTTTTGTTTTTGCTGATGGGGGATAAATTGGCAAGAATAGGGTTATAGATATGATCTGTTTTACAGAACTATTATATATTGTGTGTATGGCATCTAGTGATCCCCCCCTACTACTTGACTATGCTAATGTGGAAGAATCTGAAATGCAATTGTATGCTATACTGATTGTGCATCATGTGCTATTTTATTGTTTTATTCTACTTTGGAAAATGAATAAAATACTTTGAAAGGTAACCCATTCATATTAGCAGGGGATAATTGTAAATCTATTGTTGCAGTGCATTCTATATATAGTATATAGCACATGTTCACATAGAGTGCCTGCAACAATAAATTTACAATTATACTCTGCTAACATGAATGGGTTTAATGATCCATAGTACAGGGCTACATACAGATCATTTAATCCACTCATGTTTGCAGAGGATAATTGTAAATTAGTGAAATAAATGAACTTTTGCACGATATTCTAATTATTCGCGTTTCACCTGTATATACTGCTAATGCAGTGCAGACAATACATTTACAATTATCCTCTGCTTAATAGTGATTCCTCCCCCCGCCCCAATATGCCCTCACTCACTGTGTCTGGTGTTCGAACAGTGGAAAGAGCAGCGACGAGTCAGCGCTAGTCCGGTTGGAGGAGCTCCAGGTGGGGTTCTAATTTAGCTGGCTCAGGTAACCGCTGAGGCAGCGCTCCAAGCCGGGTCATCTGGCAGTCTCCGGCCACCTAAATTAGGACCTCACCTGAAGTATTTGTCAAAATGCCCTGTATCGGGCCCGATTCCGATGCTAGCATCGGTATCGGTACATCCCTATTACATACATATTTGTAAGCTCTCACAAGCAGGGCCCTCATAACCCTCCTTTCTTGAAATTGTATTATACCAGACTCCCACTAGTTTTCTAAAGTGCTGCGCAAACTGTTAGCGCTATATAAATCCTGTATAATAATAATAATAATAATAATGATGATTTAGTTAGTAGACTACACATTTTTTTTAAAAGGACGTAGTTTATCGTATGACTCTTCTCGGTGAAGAATGTTTATGTATGTATGTTTAGTATAGTGGTTTAAGTTTTGACTATAGACATGAAGACTGCGATTACATTCCATTTAAGAAGTGTAGCTAAATGTCATGGATAAACAAAAAGAAAAGTATTTATACAGGGCACATTGATGGAAGTGTTTAATGTGAGGAGGTTACAACAAGGGGATATGATCTCTACCATTCTGTTTCTCGTCATACTAGAGCATGCATCAAGCAAGATAACATATCATTTGTATAGACAATTCTTTGTTGCCTAGTTGGCACTAGGAATAGCATGTGTGCTAAAGTATGGCCCTGGATAATTGTATAGTAGTGCCTGTAATGTGCCCAGCGCATAAACTGTGTGTCAATAATTATTCCAAATTACGTTAAAACACTTTACATACATGAATAATAAACCCATAGATTGTACGTTATAATTTATAAACCTGTAATAAAATAAACAATAAAAGTCCACACAATTCCAATGTGAAAGCAAAAGTCCACTGTGTTGCAGTGTGAAACGAAAACACTCCATTTGTACTCAATCTGTTTCCAAATGTCCATTCACCTCCATTCTGATGCCTTATACACTACTCACTCACCAGACCTCAATGACCTCTTATTTCTAAGGTCAGAAGTATTCCATGTATGTATATCCTGTAACGCACAAAACCGTTCCAGGTGCAGAGTATAATTATTTACACACAGTTTATGCGCATATATTTTATTTATTCACGAATATATTTATGTAGCGCTGGGCACATTATAGGCACTAAGCTAACAGATAATATGAAAGACAATGGAATAGTACATTGCATAATGTGTTCTGAAGAAAGAATCTAAGCAAATTAGATTGAAAGTGAATTTAAGGAATACTAAATTTTGTGGCATGTGAAAGATAAAGAAGAAAATGGTCCGGTCACATAAGAATGAAAGAAATTGGAACATAAGGAAGAGGAAATGGGAGCACATTTGGTGGTGACAGCTGTCACTTTTCTGTTGTATCTCCAGGACAGAAAGTAAAGGGGATCTCTCCAATAGTACACACAAGCAACAAAAAAACAACTCAATAAATAATGATAAATAATATCAGCTTTAGGTTTTCTTCAATGACGTGAGCTGGAAGTCAGAAATAGAGTTTAAAGGCAATGATTGGAATGATATAAAATTGTGTAAAATTGAGTGAAATTTATAACCAGTCTCTTGTGCAGCACACATATTTTCCTTTTTTTTTTTGTAAATTTTTTGTTTAACCACCTGCTGTCCGGCCGTTGTAATTAAAACGGCCGGACAGCGGATTCTTGAGAGCGGATGGGCGTCTTTAGTCGCCCGATCGCTTGTAATATGCGTGCGGGTGTGCGGCCCCCTCCGCCGCTGCTGCTGATCCCGAGCTCCGCTGTGCCCGGTGTGAGCCCGGGACCGGCACAGCAGCTCTGCGGCTGGAGATCAAACGGAGCTCAGTACACAAGCTTCGTTTGATCTCCTCCTCTTCGGAATGCAGGCAGTGATGTGTATTACATCACTGCCTGCGTTCCACTGTCACTCTCCGGTACAGAAACCGGAGAGGAGCTGGTGAAGCAGGTCTCTGCTTCATCAGCTTCCCTGGGGGTCCCAAGGTGACATTAGGGGTCTTAAAGACCCTGATGTCTCCATAAAGAGGACCTGTCACTGCAAATTGGCTATCACATAGGGAGCTTGTTTGCTCCCTATGTGATAGCAATAAACTTCAGTGGAAAAAAAAAGGTGGAAAAAAATGAAAGTTAAAAATTAAAAAAAAAATTTAAAGTCACATATCAAAGCAATGAAAAAAAAAATTAAAGTCCCCCACCCTCACATGCACACGCAAACATGCGTCGAGTACGCCTACGTGCGAAAACGACGATTACATCCATTGCGCCGCACATGTTACATATTGCCGCAAACGTCGGAGTGAGAGCAATAATTCTAGGGCCATCAATCACTGATAACACTAAACTGATAAGCAATAAAAGCTTTTAAAGCGTCGGCTGTGGTCAATTTTGAGTATGGTAGTTTTTTGCGATGTAGCGGGTGCTCGCAATTTTAAAGCTTGACATGTTTGGTGTCTATTTACCCGACGTGACCCCGTCTTTTACATTTTACCAAAAAATTGGGTAATAATAAATGTTTTATAACATAACGTAGCGAGAACAGGTTTTTTTTCAAAATTTTCTGTACTTTTTTCATTATATAGTTAAAAAAAAAACCCGTAGTGATTAAATACCACCAAAAGAAAGCTCTATCTGTCCCCAAAAAATGGTATAAAATTAATTTCAGTACAGCGTTGCATGACGGAATAAATGTCAGTCAAAGTAACGCAGCACTGAACACTGAAAAATGGCCTGGACAGGACGGGGGTATAAACACCAAGCAGTTTAAGGAATGTAGAACATCAAGAAAACAAGAACAGAGAACTAGTACATAAATCGCACCTAGAACTGTATGGGAACCATAGAGTCATGTCCCTGAGCAAGTAATGTTAAAGCAATTGGGGATATGCAATCCAAGCAAGTGGTCACAATTCTGATAATAATTCCGTGTTCAAAGAGAAGATTGCAAACAAAACTAGGAGTAGATAGGATCATAGCAAGGTAAAGAAGATTTATGAAATTGGAAGATAAGGGGAAGGAAAAAAAAAAAAAAAGGGAAGAGGAGCGCGGAAAAGGGAGGTCCCCTCCTCCATCCAGACCGCGACCATCCGCAAGCAGGTTCAGTCGACCAGCAAGGTTTCATGTGCACTGGAGAATGTGAATTCGTGCCAGTAAAACCAGGTGTTACTGAATTGTTCTCTGTAGAGACTGAGTAAGGTCTTCCATATCTTTAATTTCATTGCCGTTTTGAAGCCAGAGCAAAATATATTTTCCTTTTTTAACTTTATACAGGTAAATGATTCAGGATACTTTTTCCAAACTGAGAGTTCTGTAGATGTTTCAGGACCTCATACAAAAGCATCTTTGTCGAAAAGCTTTGTTAATGGAGCGCCAATGTCCAGTGCGAGCCTTCTGGAAACAGTGAACCCCTTAGAAGATACACATGAATTCAGGCAAGCCTGTCAGCTGTGTTTCACCAAAGCAGGTAGAATATTTGTCATTTTTTTGTTACAAGATTAGCCCAAGTCATTTGGAAAAAGTAAGTTCTATGATATTAAATGCACTAAATGTCAACAGATTTGAAACAAGTAAAAGGTGTTTGTCATCCAGATTCTTGATTTTGTAGGGCTGATCATACAGTGTAGAAAAACGCCTACATTTTATAAGCTACACATTTTCTTTTCCACATTTTCTTGAAGTATAAGGCCCCGTTCACACCAAGGCAGTTCGGTCGCACAGATTTTTCCGCGTTGAACCACCAACATTTATTTCTATGGGGCCTGTACACGCAAACACGCACAATCGCTCATTTCAATCCGCCTGCCACCCAAACTGCTCCTTGAGCTACTTTTTCAGCGCTTTTTCAATATAGCTTTCAATGGAAACACGCTGATCAGTGCGTTTTTTGAAGTTTTTAATTGCGTTTCAATGCTGAAAATGTCCAAAAATGCCCTTTCAAAGATTGCATGGGGACCGCGCTGAACTGCTGCCTCCCTTGTGTGAAAGAGGCCTAATTGAGCAAAAATTTAATTGATGTAGTTGATTTAATGTTATTGTATGTGAAAACTTACGCATTTAAGTCATCTTGCTAAAATGTCTTTAAAACATTTACTTTGATGGACAGTTTTAATATACTGTTTACTAACTTTGTGTTTTTCAACTATTCAGGATCAAAACTTCAAAGCTACAATTACCAACCCAAACTGGAACATAAATGCAAGAAGGACATTTTTATTGGGCAGATTAAAAACTCTGCAGATGAGTCGTGGAAAAAAATAAGACCAAGACCAACAAAGAATCAGTATGCGGGTCAATACTATATTTGTAAAGGTAAATTCAGCTTGGCTTACTTTTTTTTCCTGATGTATGAGAAATGTTCCTCTTTTACTTTTGCTTACTTAGTCACTAGTTTAAACCCGCATCATATATATTATTATTATTATGACCACCCCATCAGTACTTCGTTGGGCCATGAGATGACTCCACGAGATAACTTTGTTGGGCCGCCTCGTGACTCCACGAGATGTTGAAAGGTGATGCGAGGAATCTGACACTGCACTGTTGCCCTTCTGTTGTCTTGTACCAGTCTTGCCACTCTCCGTTCTGCGATACCATTGACTAGTCGCTGACGGCCACAATTCGCACCTTCAGACCCAGATTTTCGGCTGACAGTCAAGTCTTTAAACACTTTAACAATGAGCCCCCCTTGAAAATTTAACGAATTCTGCTGTTTTGCTGATACTCGCTCCATGGCTCCAAGCGCCAACAATCATCCCATGTTCAAAGGCTGTTAAATCGCATTGTTTACCCATATCTTCAGACAAAAATAACTTCTACTGTCGTGGTAAACAACCTGCTTCCCTATTTTATAATGGTCTGGCCCTCTAGCAACTTCAGTGCGAATATATAGCTAATTGTAGCTAATTTGCCTACAAACGTCAGGTGGTCATAATAATCTGGCCACTCCGTGTATACATTATGACATTTTGTTAAAAGGGAAGAGGAGCGCGGAAAAGGGAGGTCCCCTCCTCCATCCAGACCGCGACCATCCGCAAGCAGGTTCAGTCGACCAGCAAGGTTTCATGTGCACTGGAGAATGTGAATTCGTGCCAGTAAAACCAGGTGTTACTGAATTGTTCTCTGTAGAGACTGAGTAAGGTCTTCCATATCTTTAATTTCATTGCCGTTTTGAAGCCAGAGCAAAATATATTTTCCTTTTTTAACTTTATACAGGTAAATGATTCAGGATACTTTTTCCAAACTGAGAGTTCTGTAGATGTTTCAGGACCTCATACAAAAGCATCTTTGTCGAAAAGCTTTGTTAATGGAGCGCCAATGTCCAGTGCGAGCCTTCTGGAAACAGTGAACCCCTTAGAAGATACACATGAATTCAGGCAAGCCTGTCAGCTGTGTTTCACCAAAGCAGGTAGAATATTTGTCATTTTTTTGTTACAAGATTAGCCCAAGTCATTTGGAAAAAGTAAGTTCTATGATATTAAATGCACTAAATGTCAACAGATTTGAAACAAGTAAAAGGTGTTTGTCATCCAGATTCTTGATTTTGTAGGGCTGATCATACAGTGTAGAAAAACGCCTACATTTTATAAGCTACACATTTTCTTTTCCACATTTTCTTGAAGTATAAGGCCCCGTTCACACCAAGGCAGTTCGGTCGCACAGATTTTTCCGCGTTGAACCACCAACATTTATTTCTATGGGGCCTGTACACGCAAACACGCACAATCGCTCATTTCAATCCGCCTGCCACCCAAACTGCTCCTTGAGCTACTTTTTCAGCGCTTTTTCAATATAGCTTTCAATGGAAACACGCTGATCAGTGCGTTTTTTGAAGTTTTTAATTGCGTTTCAATGCTGAAAATGTCCAAAAATGCCCTTTCAAAGATTGCATGGGGACCGCGCTGAACTGCTGCCTCCCTTGTGTGAAAGAGGCCTAATTGAGCAAAAATTTAATTGATGTAGTTGATTTAATGTTATTGTATGTGAAAACTTACGCATTTAAGTCATCTTGCTAAAATGTCTTTAAAACATTTACTTTGATGGACAGTTTTAATATACTGTTTACTAACTTTGTGTTTTTCAACTATTCAGGATCAAAACTTCAAAGCTACAATTACCAACCCAAACTGGAACATAAATGCAAGAAGGACATTTTTATTGGGCAGATTAAAAACTCTGCAGATGAGTCGTGGAAAAAAATAAGACCAAGACCAACAAAGAATCAGTATGCGGGTCAATACTATATTTGTAAAGGTAAATTCAGCTTGGCTTACTTTTTTTTCCTGATGTATGAGAAATGTTCCTCTTTTACTTTTGCTTACTTAGTCACTAGTTTAAACCCGCATCATATATATTATTATTATTATGACCACCCCATCAGTACTTCGTTGGGCCATGAGATGACTCCACGAGATAACTTTGTTGGGCCGCCTCGTGACTCCACGAGATGTTGAAAGGTGATGCGAGGAATCTGACACTGCACTGTTGCCCTTCTGTTGTCTTGTACCAGTCTTGCCACTCTCCGTTCTGCGATACCATTGACTAGTCGCTGACGGCCACAATTCGCACCTTCAGACCCAGATTTTCGGCTGACAGTCAAGTCTTTAAACACTTTAACAATGAGCCCCCCTTGAAAATTTAACGAATTCTGCTGTTTTGCTGATACTCGCTCCATGGCTCCAAGCGCCAACAATCATCCCATGTTCAAAGGCTGTTAAATCGCATTGTTTACCCATATCTTCAGACAAAAATAACTTCTACTGTCGTGGTAAACAACCTGCTTCCCTATTTTATAATGGTCTGGCCCTCTAGCAACTTCAGTGCGAATATATAGCTAATTGTAGCTAATTTGCCTACAAACGTCAGGTGGTCATAATAATCTGGCCACTCCGTGTATACATTATGTCATTTTGTTGCCATGGTAGTTTTTTGTTTTTGTTTGTTTTTTTAACGAAAAGTACATTTGATAGTTAGACAAGCTGTAACTAGTCCAATGTGTAGTCTAGAACCAAAGAATTAGGAGGCATCTGTCCATTTTAGACTGTGCCACCCAAGAACCCCCATTCCCTCTTGTTGGGTTCTGCATGCAAAAAGGTGAATGCATTGTACACACTAATGTGTAGTCATTGGTCTCTCTTCTCCACAGAAAAGTGAATGATCAGCATTGACTCACTGCAAGGGTTAACTTTTCGAACTCCTGTAGTTCCTCTTTAAGGAAAATTTACATAGCCCAATCGATGCTGGCAGTACTCAGATCTAGTCCAGCATTTGGAAAGTTTAGGCTAGGTATAAGCACCATGAAGGTTAACAATATACATTCAGATATTTACACATTGAAATGTAGCAGGTAATGATTAACATTTACAAAGTTTAGAATTAGCTTAAACCTTTGGCCAGGCTATGGGCATACAGTTATTTACATTTCTTTCTCATCCATTGAGGGATGATTGGACACTGGAAAACAATCATTTCTAGGTCAGCTCAGGATAACACCCCCTACTACCAGCATGCTTCAGTTTTTAGCTTTTGCCCTAGGAGGGTGGATGTCTTTTCTTTGGCTCTGCTGTAAAAAAGAAAAACTAAACTAGACTGTCCTTGGCTTGGCCTTGCCTGGACTGGACATTGTGGGGCTAACTCTGGAAGTGACCTTGTTCTGGAGTTAGCCATGAGTGCTTTCCAGGTCCAGAGCCATTGGCATTACCTCAGCTTTTTCTCCGTCTCTGATGATTCACTCTGTGACTAGACCGAGTGGGTTGAGCAACAGCAGCTACCTTATTTTACAATCCCCACCTTACTTTGGGTCCTAGCCCAAAAATGGTTAATGCTAAGGAACTAAGTGCTGGCATATTTTACTGCGTGAAGTCTGCGCTCTCTTTCCTATCATTCACTGTAGAGAAAGCATCTACCTGCTGCTGTTCCTGCGTTGCAAAGAACCACATTGAATGCCGATATTCGGTCTGTTCCTACTGCTCACCTGCAGTCACCTTTTGGACTTTGACCCTCACCTGCTGACAGCGGTTGGGTTTGTGAGTACATAAGGGTTGGCCTCGTACTCATATAGCTCACTCTCTAATAATGGCTCCGGTGCTGCTTGCATCATGCCCACAGTCTGCACATATAGTATATAGAGAAAACTCATAGGTGATGGACCATCTGTATCCATCTCTCATCTCCATTAGCCACCAGTCACCCAACTGAATATTATCTCCACTGCTGCCTGAAAGCCAGGCTTATATGTAGCACAGATCTCTTCAACTTTGTGGATTTTGGTTTTACCTCTGTACCCTGGATGAGCCTGAACTCTAGGTGCATTATTAAGGAATTTGTTTACAGGCAACCAGCTGGAATTGTCAAAACTTTCCTGATGCACCAGCTGTTCAAAGTCTTTCCATATGGAGATGGAAAACAGCCTTACAAGATGCCCCTCCCCAAGTGCCTATTGGCCTTTATTAAAGAGTAGCCTGATCTAAGAGGTGAGTGCCAATGTGGCGCTAGACCGCAACCTTTTTGTAGTCGAAAGAGCAATATTTGGGCCTGATGGCTTTGTTCGGACAGCTCTTCACAACATGGGGATCCTTCAGAGGGAGAGGATGCCCAGAATGAGAAATCCCTGTGAAAGTAGACAAAAGAAAAGAACACCAGGTAATCATCTCAAGTCCACAAAAAACTTAATTGGCTTCACAAATGATGACAAGAAGATTTACACAGCCAACTAGTTTCGGGGGTCAGGAATCCCCCTTCATCAGGGTTTAAATAATGGACAGTAGGACACTCATAGACTCAACTTACAGCCCCTATAGACTATTTCTCAGCCAGGAGCGGAAATCCTTGATGTGAAAAGAACTTTAGCAGTAGTTCAGCATGACGGCTACTCTTGTGGAAGCAATGGAATGTTCCTAATGCAGCTGTTCGAGCTGCCAGAGTACACACAGAGGGAGTTATGGGAAACAAGAATACAACATAACTTCTGTTGCTTTCGCGGGCTGTTACTGTTGTTTGCTGTGTTGCTTATCCATTAATTGGACTGCTTTTGGACATACTGAAGGTTTTCCACTTCTTATGTCCCTCAATGTACTAGAAAGAAAACACGATTTTGTTTACTCATGGTAAAATCCTTTTCTTAGAGTCCAGTTTATGAGCATGCTCGTTATGAAACTGAGGTGCTTGTTGTAGCAGGGTTTATCCTGGGTTGGCCTTTTTTGTACAGCCCTCCTGTGGGCAGCAGCATAAACCAACAATTTTACACTTCCTGTTTCCCTGAATGGACTCCAAGAAAATGATTTAACAGTGAGTACAAAAATCCTATTATTTTTAACAAGCAGTAAAAGAAGGCATCATTGTAGCGGCAGGCATTGTGAAACAATTCATTTTGAGGGTTCACTGCAGGAGAACTGAAGTTGTTTAAGTCAATTTCTCAGGCAGCTCATCCTGCTAACCTCTCCAAGCAACCTTCCAGCATTCTAATCTTTAATATAAACAGAGCAAGAGACCTGAGAGTGGAATTTAGGGTGAGCTGAACGTTTAAGAGGACAACTCAAACAACTTCAGTGCTTCTGTGACCATTGAGGATGAATTGCTCCGCAGTGTATGCTGCTAAAGAGGTCAGTGAAGGTCTGTTTTAAAACTCATTTACTGCTAGTTAAGATATAAAAATATGTTAATGTGCATAGCCTGTCCACAGGTTCTTGTTATATATACATTTATTTAATAACATATCTGTTAGCTGTTTGAATTGTTATATGTTAAACATTGTTTCTTCTAGATGTTGCCCAAGGCATGGAGTGCACATACTCAGGAAACTGCACGTTTGCATACTGCCAAGAAGAAATTGATGTGTGGACTTTAGAGAGGAAAGGAACATTCTGTAGGGAGACTCTCTTTGGAGGCAGCAAAAAAGTGAATCTGACAATCCCTAATCTACTGCAGGAGTACTCAGGGAATTTTGTCTTTCTTTGTGAGGTAAGCTGCTCAGCTGTGATACATATACTGTATATGCAGGGCCTGATAAACTCTGAGTCACTTTTGTGGACAATCTGGAACTAGATTATCCTTGATCTGCTGCTTACCTGACACTTCAGCTAGGATTTTGGCAGCTTTGAACCCAGTGCTTAGAGTTCACCAATCTCTTCCCCACCTTGGCATCCTACAACTCTCACAGAGGTGCAAGTTAGCCCCAGTGACCAGGGTGAACAACAGGAGCACAGTGCCACAGGGGCATGGAATTAATTCTACTGGAATTCTGGAAGCAGCATAATTAAATAATAATCCAAATGCCAATATTGCAACTGTGGGTTTTTCATCCTGTATTTGCCCCACGGTAACACAGCTATGGCAATGGAAGTGAAAGGGTTAATCACACAGATCACTTGATCGGCTTCCCCCATAGCACTGTGAAGTGCACCCTGTAGATTAGAGCAACCTCTGGAGTCTGCTGTGGCTGCATGGAAAAAAACAGTAGATTAAGGCCCCATTCACACCTATGCGTATTGTAATATGCGCGTCTGTCGCGCGACCGTCACGCGGTTTTTTTACCGCGATTTGCGGTAAAAAAGCCGCGCGACCGTCGCGCGATTCCAAAGGCTACTTGGCAGTATACTAATGGAAAACGCCCTACAAAACGGACCAATACGCAGCAAAAAACGCTCCGGGACCTTTTCATGCGTGGGCCGTTTTGTAGTGCGTTCGGGACAGGCGGAAATACGGACAGGTGGGAACGAGGCCATTGACTACAGTGCTATTTATTTTTTTGACCGTTTTGTAGAGCGTTCATCGAGCCTAGGACGCGCTACAAAACGGTCAGGTGTGAATGGGGCCTAACACCCTTCTGGCACAGGCGATGTGCCAGAAGGATCGCATTTTGGGCCGGAGGGCGTGACTACGGTGCCATTCACTTCAATGGCCATCCATGCCCCCTCCTGCCCCACCAAAAAGTGAGCCTGCCGCAATGTGATGCATTGCGTTCCCTTAAGTGGCAGTGGAATCTAAAGGCTTAAAGCTGATATCCAGCCACTAAAATACTTTATGTAGGGGCTAGAAGGAGGAACCCCAATGCGTAGAGCAGGACCAGGAATCTGACACTCCTGGAAGTGTCAGATTCAGAAATGTATTCAAGCATTGGTTTCTCCAGAAAACAGAAGAGCCAGCAGCAGGAAAGGTCAGTATGGAATATGTTCCTCACAGGGTGTACAGGTATGACTATTTATTTCTATTTTAGTGGCAGCCAATGTAGAGTCAATTTAAAGAGCATATATTTATAACAGTTTGCTGTTTGTATTTCAGAAATGTTTTGACCACAAACCCAGAATGATTAGCCAGCAAAGTAAGGAAAATCCATTTACCTGCTCACATCCTGTATCCAAGCACAGTTTTAAAGAAAATAAGTATGTTTACATAGTTTTATGTGATAGTTTTCATTGCTGACGTAAAGAAAAAGTCAACTCAGAATGCCAATTTGCCATATGTGCTGATGATTTTACCCTCTATAGTACAACTTTATTGTCTAGCTTATTGCGGGATATTAAGTGCATGTTATTGTAAAAAATACATGCATGTGTCAGTGTTTTTATTTTTTGTGCTTCAGTTGCACAGAAATATCTGTTGATGCTGCCAGTTCTCCTTCTTCCCTTTTTCATTCTGACCAAAGAAGCAGAATCACATTTTGTATGTGGGATCAGAAACAAGCTGCCACAAATATCAAATTGCTATTTTTTTTCCTTCATGTGTGCTTGCCGATTTAAGAAAAAAAAAAAAAAGAATAAAGTTTATATTTGGGCTGCAACCAACTAACCGATAATGAGAATAGTTGTCAACTATTCTTATTATTGATTAGTTGGTTGGATTCCCTAGCTCTCTCGTCCACGCTGGGAGGAGGGCACATCAAGCAGTGGGTGGGTGCAATAGCCAGCCTGCTATTGCAATTTGAAATGGCCAATAGCAGGCTGGCTATTGCACCAGCCCACTACCTGCTGTATTTACATTCAGCTGTCGTCTGTGGAATCTTGCCACTGGCAGCCGTCGTTAGCTGGCTGAACCTATTCAAATGTCATGAGCTTACAATACAATTATTAAAAACACACACACACACACACCCACCCACACCTACCACAAGTGATCGGGCCCAATCGCTTGAATGTAAACAGCCATCGCTGGCTGTTTAAATCTCTGACAGTTTCCCCACAAGCTGGGGGAGGGGAAGGACGTCTTAAGACGCCATCCCGCTCCTATAAGACTCCCCTCCAGCCGTTCAGGAACGGCCATGGACGGGAGGTGGTTAATGCTAGCAGTGGGACTGCTAGACAGATCCTTGCCGCCTCTTCTCCCCTGGGCTCCAGCAGTTTACGCTCCTTCTGACGTCATTACGTCTAATACAGGTCCATTCACCTGCATTAGATGTGAGAATGCCAAAGGACATACCACATCCTCGGCGGAGGGGGGGGAGGCGACGTCACAACCTACTGCGGCAGGGCTGAGGATCAGATGAGTATATGTTCTGTATTCTGGCCCCTAGATAAAAACAAGCAGTTATAGGAGAACTATGAGGCGAGTGAATATCACTCAGCCTCATAGTTCTAGCAGACCTGTGACAATGAAACTGTCACAGGTCGGCTCAATTGATCGGGAAGTGAGCGAACACATAGCGTCGCTCGCTCACTTCTCGATCTATCCCTGCAGAGGAGGGGGCGTGCACAGCTGGCTCTGCCTCTAGATAGGCAGAGCCAGCTGTCAATCCCGCAGCTGAGGGGATCCAGACAGTAATGTCGGGATCCGTCACAGCTGCGGCGTCTCAGTATACCGCGAGCTGTAGCTCGCGGTATACTGAGCTTAGGGTGGCGGGAGGACACTAGTTTGTGTCCTCCCGTTACCCTTAGGAAAACTATGTGGAAAAGCCCTGACCCCATAGTTCTCCTTTTAACCCTTGCAGTGCGGGGGTAGCCCCACTGCAAGGGTTAAAGAACATCTTTGGGGAGACTTTTGATTTAACCCCTGCAGTGGGGCTACCCCTGCACTGCAAGGGTTAACTGCTTGTTTTTGTATAGGTGCTAAAAAAAACAATTGTACTCTTGTGCTTCTTCTGTCTCTGAAGCCTGTCTCCTGCCATTTTATCTGCCAGAGGATTTGGTATTATACTCAGCCACTTATGTGATGTATATACCTCTACCAGACTTAAGCTACTGTACTTGTATGTAAAATATAATTATTTGAAGGGAATACTCAGCTACATCAGTGTTTTTTATATGTGCCAGAACTTCTGCTTCAGCCTAATAATGAATGTATTACAATTCATGTTTTAATTATGCAGATGCCTTGTTCACATGTTCAAAGATGCAATTGTAAAGTATTGCAAGATCCGCCCTTTCAACAGTCAGGTTGTGCTTGATCTTTGTCGCCATGAGGTACGCTATGGATGTTTAAGAGAAGATGAGTGCTTCTATGCTCACAGCTTGGTGGAGCTCAGGGTCTGGGTCATACAGAACGAGACAGGTGGGACAGGTTACTTCAAGAAATGTACATAATGCATTTCTTCAGTTAATTCTCTTGTAACATTGTTTGTTTCTTTTCATTTAGGGATTACATTTGATGAAGTTGTGCTGAAATCTCAGCAATTTTGGGCACATGAGTCCAGTGCACTTAAGCCTCAGGTACATTTTTGGATTGTTATTATAAAGTTGCATACAGATAAGATGCAGTATAATAAGCTGGCTTGGAATCGCAACTCCTAAGTCAATAGAAGAGGAGAATTCAACCCCCTCATTTTGGATATATATTTTCAAAGAGATGCCTTTCAGCAATTAATGTTTACTTCTGTAAATAACATTATAAGTGCCAAAATAAACAGCTAAAAACTTCATCTGACAGCATGGATATGAATCTACTTTGCTACCAGCTGTCCAGATTTCGTGAGTACTTCAGGCCTTTTACCCTTACGCTGTACATTACCTTACTGCTGCAACATGTCTGATTTTATACTTGGGGAGGAAGGGGGGGGTCTGCGGCAGTCTTACTGTACCAAGTGCCCCCAGCTCACTTTGTACTGATGGTGCCATCGGCTTCAGACTGGGGTCATGCTGTCCTCTGCTGTTTCCTCTCCTGTCCTTTGAGTCCTCATTAACTCTATGTGGTGTGGCTGGGCGCTCTACCCTTTTTGCTGTGGTCTTAACCACGGTCATGCAAGACTTTGATCCGATTAATTGCTGACTCGGAGCACAGTGGCTACTAGTGCACTCTCATGCCCTTCTGATTTACCTGCAGTCTTGGCAGCTTCTGAGCCATCGACCACAGAGATTTTTTTCTTATCCTAAATCTTTCAAGTCCTTGTCTGATGCACTTCTTACCCCTAAGGAGTTAGTCTTCCGCAATTATTCCTAAATTAAAGGAGACCGTTTCAGCTCTTACTAATGCAGCGCATACCACTCTGAAACTAGAGGATCAACCTGTTCTTCTACCAATATTGTTTCTAGTCATGGGTCATTTAAAACTCCTAAGGCTGCAAAAACCTTTCATTTGCACTTTCCAACTTTTCTTTGGAGATTAAAAGCACCCTAATAACTTGTTTACTACACCCCTGACCCCAATCCCAAGCACTTGTGAGCGTTGTTTCTGTTGTATGCAGTGTTAGGGCAGGTTCACACCATTTTCCGATCTGGATCTGGTCCGGAAAATGGTGTGTACCTGCCCGCAGTTCCAGTGCATTCCAGACCAGAACAAATGAAACATGCAGTATTTTTCTGGTCTGGTCTGCAACGGACTGTGCTGGTGTGAACAGAGGCCAGAGATAGCATAGGGATACAATAGGATGCATTTTGGGTCTGGAAAAAATCTGGTCTGGAGATGATCTGGATGTGGTGTGAAGCATTTTGTTCTTTCTATGGCTCCACGGAGACACTCTGGTTTCTGTGGACATCAGAAACACCTCATTTTATGTGACCATGTTTCCAGCGTATCAGTGGTTTCCACTTTTGCCCGTGGGTCCCCACCAGGAAGCAGATGATCCATAAATTTTTTCTGGGTCAGTGACTTTAAAAATACTGAAGACAGAGAAGCCAGGCAGATGATCAGCAGTGACCACTTATATACCTGGCCTAGCACCTTCTTGTTTAAAGTTAAACCCATGTTGCCTGGCTAATTATTTTGCGTCACTGACCTGGAGCAACTATGCAGATCAGAAATGTCTCTGCTTCTGGGTCAGTGATTTAGAAAATGTTGAAGCTAGAGAAAGCCAAGCAACTAGCATTTACCCATAATGTCTGCTGCCACACTCTCTTTTTTTTTTTTGCTATAGGGCCCATGGTCTGTGTATCACTACTTTGTGATTTGATACCTACATACAGAAAAATTATTATATGATATGTGGAGGAACTTTTAGCAGATCCTTATAATTAAACCTGTAGTGAATTAAAGCAAAGCGGATTGCTAAAAAATAAGCAAATAATTCACAATAATGACAGTGCCACATGCCTTATGACTTTGTGAGTTGATGCTAATAAAATAAAACCATTACTGAGAGCAATATGAAAAATGTAATTGCTGACCACACCTATATAAAGGCTAGTTGCAGACTGCAAAGCTGATTCTTATAACTGCCATACTTTAAAGGAGAACTATGGGGTTAAGGCTTTTCCCCATAGTTCTCCTTAGGGTAACGGGAGGACACAAACTAGCGTCCTCCCGTCACCCTAGGCTCAGTATACCGCGAGCTGTAGCTCGCGGTTTACTGAGACGCCGCAGCTGAAGCGGATCACGACAATTATGCCGGGATCTGCCCAGCTGCGTGACTGACAGCTGGCTCTGCCTATCTAGAGGCAGAGCCCGCTGTACCCGCCCCCTCCCCCGTCCGTTCCGCCAGTCAGCGCTGGCGGATCGGAGCGGGGAGGGGGGAATCCAGCCCCTCCCCTGTCACGGCAGAGAGCCTTGACAGGATCGAGAGGTGAGCGAACTCCGGTATGTGTTCACTCACCTCCCGATCTACTGAGCCGACCTGTGACAGTCTCATTGTCACAGGTCGGCCAGAACTATGAGGTGAGTGAAAAGCACTCGCCTCATAGTTCTCCTTTAACTCACTTTTCTAAAAACAAGAATGCAGTCGGTACTCCCAATCTGACTGACTGTTCTGGTTCAGTAACTCGGTTATAAAATGTAGTACCAGATACTTCTTGTAAAGAAAGATGTTGGCTTAGAACTGGTTTATTTTTTTTCTGCAGCTGTGTTGGATATACAGTTGTAATCAAAATTATTCAACCCCCATTGCAAATCCTGTTTATTTACAAAATTTACAGACTTTTAGCTGTTTGCAATGGACATATCAAACAATAGCAATTGAAATAGGTCAAGACAACAAATGTTTCAAGTGGTTTCCCCAAATTCAATTGAGAGTGCAACTTTTAATGACTTCACTCTAAAGGTGCCCACACACCTTACGATAATCGCGAGAAATCCCGCTATCATACGATTATCGCAAGGTGTGTGGAAGGCGTGCGACCTCTCCTACTGTAAGGTCGCACAACTTTTATCTTTTCAACATGTTCGAAAACCCGCCGAGAATCGTACGATTGTCGGCGGGTGTGTGGCATGTTCGCAAGATAAAAGTCGCACGGGCCGGTGTGTGCAAGCGGGGCGGGCTTGCGATCATCGCAAGTACGATCTGCCTGTCCAAGATAGGCAGATCGTACGTTTTTTTAATTACCTTACAACCATCGCAAGACAAGTCTTGCGATGGTTGTAAGGTGTGTGCCCAGCAGAAGAATTATTCAACCCCTTCATGGCACGCATCTTTTTTAACTTATAGAGCACCCATTGCTGTTATGACTTGCTGCAAATGAGATGCATAGCCAGACACCAGCTTCTGGGAGCGTTCCTGGGGAATCTTAGCCCATTCCTCATGAGCAGTGGCCTCCAGTTCACTAATATTCTTGGGTTTGTGTGCTGCAACCACCTTCTTCAAATGCCACCAGAATTTTTCTATGGGGTTGTCAGGTGACTTGATGGCCACTGTAGAATCTTCCATGACTTCTGCAACCAAGCCTTGGTGGAATTTGAGGTATGCTTGGTATCATTATCTTGTTGGAAGGTCCAGTGATGCTGAAGCATCACCTTCCTCACAGATGGCACACTTTCAAGCTAGCCAGCAAAATAAAAACCAAATAATGTGTTTAACTACTCAGGTTAAAAAAAAGAGGTTTTCGTTACATACACTTGCAAATATACGGGGAAGCCACATTTTGCTAGTTTTAAACAGATTTGAGTGGCTCCCATATTTGCTTTTTTGGATTTATTTCATATACAGTATGTGCCACAATTGGGTAACTCTGGTAGTTCAGAGATAAGGGCCACGGTTATCAGAGGTGCCCTGATGCAGCAGGGTGGCTTGCCTATATATTTTGCAAATGTATGTAACTGAAAGCACTGTTTTAACCTGAGTAATTGAACAGATTAGTCTGTTTTCTGTCTTTGTGGCTGACTGGCTTGAAAGTGTTCTGTGGACATTTTTTCTACAGTTTTGCATACTGCCCTGTCCATATGCACCTTTTCCCTTTTTGCTAGTTTTAAAAAGACCTGAGTGGCTGCCATATTTGCTTTTTATTAATGAAAAAGATAGAGGCCAATATGCACCATGATACATGTATATGTTTTTATTATGTACAGGGATTCTAATGATATGTTTCTAAGGCCTCGTGCACACCAGATGCAGTGCGTTCCGGCCCGATTCTGGCCAGAACACACTGCCTCGCATTGCGACCAGCTCACTTTTTTGTGGGGCAGGAGGGGGCGTGTGGCCGGCCACAATACGGTCGGCCACACAGGATCGCACGGCACATTATGCCTGTGGTCCGGTGCGATCGAAATGCTGCAAGCACTATTTTGATCGCACCGGACCGCAGGCAGAATCGGGCCGGAACGCAGTGCATCTGGTGTTAACGGGCCCTAAAGGACAAGTTTGTGCAAATAGATATTATTTTTTATTTTATATTCCTTTATATAAGTAAGTCTTTACACTTTTGTAACAAATGTTATAAGTGCTGAAAATAATATGTTTAACTATGTGGGGGGTGTTTCTTTTCAATTCAGTTATAGCTATCAGTTTATGTTTTCATACTTTGTATGTTAGATTAATCCATGACCTATTTATTTTATATTCTGAAAAATTCATACAAACCAAACCTAGAGATTGTTTTGTTAAAAAAAAACACTATTACTAAACTAATACATTTCCTGTATTCCTGTAGAATTAATGATTTGTCAATTTGTTTTAAGCTTTTGAACGTGCAGAATAATCCTGAGCTTCCAAATTTGAACATTAAGTTTGTGTGTGGACAGTGCTGGAGAAACGGACAAATCATTGAAGCAGACAAAAACAGAAAGTATTGTAGTGCAAAGGCAAGACATTCGTAAGTACATATAATCAAGTAATTAAATCTCTTTATTTAAATAGACGTAATATTTAGCTGCATACTGATTTTTTACTCTTTATCCAGCACATATTTATATATTTTATAAATGTTTTGATAGATGGGTAAATGATCGTCAGGTTGTGTTAGCGATGTCCAATGAACGGAGTGGTGGAAGGCCTTCAAAGAAGTGGATATCTATCAGACCATGTCCTACAAGAAAGCCATTGCCAGTTCAATTTGAGGTGATGATCAAGTCTTATTGCCTGAATATTCAATTGTTTCAAAGCATAGTGCACAATCTTCAGAAACCCATAGGTTTTCAAATTTCTGATTTTGTACTCTGTTTTCTAATGAACACAAAAGCCCCCTGTGTTATGGCACCTTAGTGATGATGGTTGCTGTTTAAGGAGACATTAGGGATCTATTTGACCCCTAATGTCCCCTTTGCAGCCCACTTAAGCTGATCAAGAACAATTAGGCCTGCAGGAGGTGCAGTGGAGCCCAAGAAGCAAGGGGGAATTTCGGGGGGTCGTGTCTGGGGGCATACATTTACTGGCCCCCGGAGGAGATCAGAAGAATTTACAGGCACCCGAATCACTTCCAGTGTAAAGCGGACAGTTGACTTTACGCAGGTAAATAGACTCTGTTTAAAGGGTCCCACGGCTGCTGATGTATGACATACCGTCCTGGCCAAAAGTTTTGGGATTGACGCAAATATTAATTTTCACAAAGTCTGCTGCTTCAGTGTTTTAGGATCTTCTTGTCAGATGTTACTATGGTATATTGACAATTACATTAAGTTTATGCAAAGAGTCAATTTTTGCAGTGTTGACCCTTCTTATTCAAGACTTCTGCAATTCGCCCTGGCATGCTGTCAATCAACTTCTGGGCCACATCTTAACTGATGGCAGTGCATTCTTGTTTTGTTCACCCGCCTCTTGAGGATTGACTACAAGTTCTCAGTGGAATTAAGGTCTGGGGATTTTCCTGGCCATGGACCCAACATTTTTGATGTTTTGTTCCCCAAGCCACTTATCACTTTTGCCTTATGACAAGGTGCTCTATCATGCTGGAAAAGGCATTGTTCGTCACCAAACTGTTCTTGAATGGTTTGGAGAAGTGTCTCTTGGAGGATGTTTTTGTACCATTCTTTATTCATGGCTGTGTCCTTAGGCAAAATTGTGAGTGAGCCCACTCCCTTAGCTGAGAAGCAACCCCACACATGAATGGTCTCAGAATGCTTTACTGTTGGCATGACACAGGACTGATGGTAGCGCTCACCTTTTCTTCTCCGGACAAGGTATTTTCCGGATGCCCCAAACAATCGGAAAGGGGATTCATCACAGAAAATGACTTTACCCCAGTCCTCAGCAGTCCAATCCCTGTACCTGTACCTTTTGCAGAATATCAGTCTGTCCCTGATGTTTTTCCTGGAGAGACGTGGGTTCTTTGCTGCCCTTCTTGACACCAGGCCATCCTCCAAAAGTCTGCGCCTCACTGTGCGTGCAGATGCACTGGTGGTGACCTGATCCCGCAGCTGAATCAACTTTAGGAGGCAGTCCTGGCACTTGCTGGACTTTCTTGGGCGCCCTGAAGCCTTCTTCACAACAATTGAACCTTGATCCGTTAAATGGTTGATTTTGGTGCAATCTTAGTAGCAGCAATATCCTTGCCTGTGAATCCCTTTTTGTGCAAAGCAATGATGACTGCACATGTTTCCTAGCAGGTAACCAAGGTTCTTAACGGAGGAAGAACAATGATTTCAAGCACCACCCTCCTTTTAAAGCTTCCAATCTGTTGTTCTAACTCAATCAGCATGACAGAGTGGTCTCCAGCCTTGTCCTCGTCAACATTGACCCCTGTGTTAACGAGAGAATCACTGACATGATGTCAGCTGGTCCTTTTGTGGCAGGGCTGAAATGCAGGGGAAATGTCTTTTGGGGCATTAAGTTAATTTTGATAGCAAAGAGGGACTTTGCATATACTCCAGAATGTTATGAAGAGTGATCAGATCAATTGCAATTAATTGCAAATTGCCATCATACAAACTGAAGCGGCAGACTTTGTGAAAATTAAAAGAGAACTATGAGGTGAGTGAAAATCACTCATCCTCATATTTCGAGCAGACCTGTGACAATTAAATTGTCACAGGTCGGCTCAATAGATCGGGAAGTGAGCAAACACATAGCGTCGCTCGCTCACTTCTCGATCATCTCCCTGCAGAGAGCCGTAACTGTCAATCAATCCGTAACTGGTGTGAACAAGCCCTAAAGGTTTCTTTTCAGTAACAGTGATTCAGAACATTTATATATAGCCTAGGAATTAATTAGCTTACACAAACAGAAGATCACTAAACGCAGCATTTTTCAACCTTTTTTTCGGTCATGGCAACTATTCAAAGTGTGCAAAATTGTAATGCAGCCCAGTCTAAAATGAAACACCACC